AACGGGACACCCTTCATGGTGAACAACTTCAAAACCTCGATAGGATGTATGACAAGTTAGAGAATTGCACAGATCTTCATGGTCTTCCCAAATGCTCATATAGTTGTAGACATTACAAGTAGGCTAGTTATTGAGTATTTTTATACTTGCCCTATTTTACATTTCTTTTTCAAGAGTTCGCTAACTATCGATTGGGGTGAGAAAGCATCTGAGAGTTGTGCTGTTACAAAGGAGGTCATCCGAGGGCGTTAGTCTTATATGTGTATTTTGGGTTATTTTGCATTTGTTTAAATTTATATTCGGATTCCATTCCCGGGTTTATATTAAATCAGTTATTTGTTTTAAATTCCACAAAATTTTACCATATTTCACTTTTAATTTCTTTTTATGTTTTATTTTTTTGTCTTTGTCTTCATCTTTTTCATCACTTTCGAGATTCAAAACCTAAAAACTCTTTAACTAGAACGGAGAGTTCTACGGAAAGTTCTATCGAAAGTTCTACAGAAAGTGATACCGGATTGGATTGTGATACTTCCAATAGATAATATCATACCAAGATGTATGAGTGAAATCATAAAATTGTTCAAGAAGGAAAAATTAGATGTTGGTCCTCATTATATGGCTTCAAGATAGAAGGTTGATGGATGAACGACTAATAGAAAGGAAAATATACTTGCTAAGATATTAAGATATGTCCTATCATTCCGTGAATTAAACGAATGTTCAAAATATATCAATTGAGTGAAAATTTACATTGGCATTCTCAACGTATAAGTATTGATAGAAAAACTCGACATCCAGTTGATTCTGCTACATGAGAATAATTGATTAAAATTGACCCGAGTTTTCAATATACTTGTCATAACCTTAGGTTAGGCCATGCTATAGATGGTTTTGACACTTTCTCCAACATGAGCTGTCAATATAGTTGTTGGCTAGTCAGCGTATAATGTCTCATTGGTCGTGTATGAAAATATATAATACAATATTAAAATTATTGATTTCTGACCCTGGACAACCGGGAAACGGGAAACAATATCGATGTCTACTTCTACGTTAAAATTACAATTGCATTAGAAGGAAGAAGAAAAAAAAAAAAAAAAAAAAAAAAAAAAAAAAAAAAAAAAAAAAAAAAAAAAAAAAAAAAAAAAAAAAAAAAAAAAAAAAAAAAAAA